GCCTCTCTGCTCCTATGATGCTGCTTGGCCTGCTGTGTTCATCCAGCCCTGCACCTTGTTGTCACCCTTCAAACACTCTCAGAACAGAGACAGCGCAGGGCTACATATAGAGTAAAGCTAACTTTACACTGTCCCCAAACACTCCCAGGGAATGGACAACATGGGGGTTAGGTACAGAGTAAATCTTCACCTCTCTGTCCTTTAGCATTGCCTTTTCTGAAATATCCAGTAAAACACAGAATAGATAATGAGTTTTTAAAAGCAGAGCTAATATTAAATTTTGAGCCCTTTCCCATTAATATTCTCTTTGACCAAAGATTCTCACTCAGCTCTATTAACTTTCTGATCACAAACCAAACAGATCCATGGTGTTTACACTGAACACTTTCGCCAAAACACTCCAATAGCTTCGTGTGGTCAGAGACCGCATCTCACTTCAACAGATTTTTATTTCAATAATGTCTACTTATTTGCAAGTTTAGAAAATAAAATTGCTGGACAGTGTTAAGAAAAATATGCCATTAATACAACTGGCAATAATAATTGTAATCATTCACCTTGAGAAAATGAGACACAAGACTAACGTTAAAATGTGACTGATAAGAGGTAAGTAAACTTCACACCAGCTGAGGGCCAGGCAACAGTCACCTCCAACAAAACACAACTGAATGTGATAAACCATTTGGGAAAGTGTCTGATTCCCAAATCCCACTATTCTCATGGTCACCATAGGAATTACTGATTTAATCAAAGCCTGCAGAGTCCCTGATTTACCTAGAATCAGGTTAACAGAAAACACTGACCAGGTTCCTTTACTTAGCAAGAACTAACAGTTATTACAAATAAGTAAATTCTAATCACCAGTAAACAGCAATGAGCCAACAACACTTTGCTCGATTAGTTGAAACTCAAGCTCCCTTTTAAAGTTCCTACACACACATATAGACAAGCACAGAGAAAGAGAAAAAATATTGGTCTTATGGGTGGGAGGACAAGCAGTTGGGAAGCACAGTTCAATAGCACCAGTCCACAGGATTCACTGAGATGACCCTCTTGCTCGGACTGTCTGTTCTTCAAACTCTTTCCTCCAGGTTCCTTCACTTCCTTGCAGGAAGCACAGGATGATTAATACACTAACTATAAACTCTTTTCGTTAGTGGTTAAAGGCACCAACTTATAACAACTGACTGTAGAAAATTACTAGCTTTTTTCTAGGTATTTTTATTACAGGAAGAGAGACACCGCCTGCTCTTCCAACATCCAAAGGTTTCTTCCTGTATTGTTCACATCCACAAGCTGTTCAACAGCCCACGGACTCAATGTAGACAATTGAATGATTCTTACATTAAAATGTTGGTTGATGAGTGTAGTGATTGGTACCAGGTGAGTCTTGTTCGTTGTGAGATCCTGACTGGGGTTGTTGGTCTGGGCCAGTCAGGAAAGCCCTGGCTGGCCAATATTATCAGGGGGTTTATAGAATCTCCTCAGTTCAGGGATTGACATCAGCTTGACTGACCAGAGCCAGTGCACTGTGCACAAGTAAATAAAAGGTGATGGGATACTGGCTTCTGAGCAGTTATTTCAATGAGCCAGGCTATTCTTAATTTACAGACCCAACATCTCTCCATTTCAAGTGAAAACAGAAAGGCAAAATAAATGTGAAAGAGATTCATGTGAAATAAAACAAAGAACTTTGTTCCGCATGCCAAAGTTCTGAAACAAAGAAAAACAGAAATTGTTTGAGAAACCCAACAGGTCTGGCACAGAGAGAAAAGCCGAGTTAACGTTTCAAGTCCAGTAACCCAAAAGGGTAGAAAAAGCTCTGTAACTCTGTTCCAAAAGTAACTCTGTTTCTCTCTCCACAGATGCTGCCAGACCTGCTGAGTTTCTCCAGCACTATCTGTTTATGTTTGTCTCAGATCTCCAGCATCTGCAGTTCTTTGTTTCATTATCTGTCTCTTTCACATTATTTTGCCTTTTGGCACTGTTCCACTGTTAGGGACATAGGAACTGCAGGAGATCATTCAGGCTCTCCAGTTTACTCTGATGTTCCATTAGATCATGGTCATTCCAGATCTCAGCTCCATTAACCTGATTTAGCCCCAGAAACATATCTGACAGATACACTCTTTAAAAGTAACAAGAGTTCTTACTAAGATCTAAATACACCTTTCCAACATCCTAATCTTCACAAATTCTTATTCTAAACCAGTCCAAGACCTCATATCCCTCAGTCTTCCCTGCCTTGGCTGAACCTTGCTAAGGAAGAAAGCGTTGCATTTCCGTAGCATCTTTCGAAACCCTAGGGCATCACAAAACCGGATGGTGTAAACAATCTATATTAGGTGCATGAGGCAAACATATCAGTCAGGATATAAGGAAGAAATCTCCCCCCCTCCCAATCCTTCAAAAGTGCCCCATTGTTTTAGAGTATTCCATTAGAGGAAATAACATTGCTGTATTTGTACTAATGGAACAGGAGTAGGCCATTCATCCCCTTGAGCCTGTTCCACCATTCAATGAGATTATGGCTGATCTGTGGCCCAACTCAACAGACCTGCCTTTGGCCCAGATCCCTTAATACTTCAGCTTAACAAAAATGTATCTTTTTCTGATTTAAATTTAACAACTGATCCAGCAACTGTGCTGTGCTGTTCTATGTTCCATTTGTGGAAGAGAGTTTCAAACCTCTCCCACCCTTTGTGTGTGTGGAAGTGCTTCCTAACATCTCTCCTGAACGGCCTGGCCCTAATCCTGAGATTATATCCCTTTGGTCTAAAATCCCCAACCAATGGATATAGTTTATCTTTATCTACCCAGTCATTTCCTGTTAATATCTTGAAGACTTCCATCAGATCACCTCTTAACATTCTAAATTCCAGAGGAAACAGACCTAATTTGTATAATCTCTCCTCAATGATAAAAAAAATCTCCATTAGCTCATCAATGAACCTGTTAAACTCAAAAGAAGACCCAGCAACATCATGTAGCTTGTCCTTATAATGATTTAGAGTTTTGTATGTTGCTCTCTGGATATGTCAGTTGTGATGGAATGGTCGTGTTATGAGTAGACATGGTCAGTACCTGAAAGTGAGTCCTGATTTGCTCTTGAGATTCCGTAGTAAGTCAAGCTGGTTGAGTGGAGGAATCAGCCTGTGACAACAGCATACAGAAGAGGAGAACATGTGGGTTTGAACAGAAGACTTGGTGGTAACCAGGACTTAAATGACCAGACTCTATCCGAACTCTCAAGGGACACCCTACCCCAGCTACATCGCCTTGCTGTGTGATTTATGAGTAGCTTCATAGTACATCAGCTTTTAGTTCTTTGGCATCTCACCTGGTCTGTTTGAAAACTTATAATCAGTTTTTAAAAATTCAGAAAAACCTGCCAGATTATCACAAAAACACACTGGCTTTCACAAGGGAATCAAACTGGCGAATTTAGCCAATCTTGGTGTATATGTGACTCCAGACCCTACTCGAAGCTAATGTTTCGAGTCTGGATGACTCTTCATCAAAGCTGAGCTTGCTCTCTCTCCATGGATACTATCTGACCTGTTGTGATGTCCAGCATTTGTTGTTTTCAGCACAGATTCCAGCATCTGCAGTAATTCACTCCCCACCAATTCAAGAAGGCAGAACATTCCCACTTTGTCAAGGGAGAGCTAGGGATGGGTGATAAGGAACAAGCTTGCCAGCAATGGTCACGTCCCCAAGATCTAATTTCATAAGAAACAAATTCTAAACAATTTACAAGAAAATCAACATTTATTTTGTTCAAGAAAAAAATTGCTAAACTTCTCGGCCTACTTTGCCTCAATTAGCACAAACTTTATCAGCACTGCAATAATTTTAAACAGAACAGGGACGAAACATTCTCCAGTGTCCTTTAGAGAAGCTCCCGTGCTAAAAGAACATGAAAGAAAGAAATAGAAAGCTCAATATTACACAGCTCTTGAAAGTGGCAGGATGCATTCATACATTTTGAATTAAACATGCAGAACCCTTGGACTTTGTGAGCAGAGGCATTGAGTGCAAAACCATGGAAGTTGTAGAGTCATAGAGATACACAGCGCAGAAACAGGCCCTTCAGTCCAACTTGCCCATGCCAATCAGATATCCTACACTATTCTACTCCCATTTGATCTATAAAACTCTAAACCCTTCTTATTCATACCGATTCTTTTAAACATTGTAATTGTACCAGCCTCCACCACTTTCTCTGGGAGCTCATGCCATACATGCACCACCCTCTGCCTGAAAAAGTTGCTCCTTAGGTCCCTTTTAAATGTCTTAATGAAAATTTGTAGCCGGATTGTTGATACAGTTGTTCGTTAGAACACTGAGCCAGTTGTTCAGTGGTCTGCAGACATTTCATTACCATTCTAGGCAACATCTCCACTGCAACCTCTAATCGAAGCGTTGGTGTTCTGCTCCATTCCGAATTTATATGATCCTCTGATGTGTTGGGTCTTGTCACTTCCGGTTCTGTTGTTTTAGCAGCAGTCTGTACATGGGGTCTATTTCTATGTGTTTGTTAATGGAGTACTGTGTTGAGAACCAGGTCTCCAGAAATTCCCTTGCATCTCTGTTGTTCACTTGTCCCAGTATAGTCATTTTGTCCCAGTCTAACTGATGGCCATCATTGTCTGTGTGTATCGAGACAAGTGAATGTTGGTCATGTCTTTTTAACTGCCAATTGGTGTTCGTGTATCCTGGTCGTCAGTTTCTTCCCCGTTTGCTCAATGTAACATTTATTACACTCACTGCATGGGATTCTGTATGTTATGTTAGTCCGGTTTACTGTCAGTGTGGGGTCTTTAGTCTCTGATAGCATTTGACACAGTGTTGATGCAGGTTTGTGTGCAATCATGATCCTATGCGGTCTAAGGAGTCTGGTTGTCACTTCTGATATATTTTAAATGTGGGGTAGAGTTACTAGTGGTTTTTGTTGTACCCTGCCCTCTGACCGTCATTTGTTTTGTGGACAAAACTTCTTGGGTATCCATTGTTGGTAAATACTTTGTGCAGATGTTCTTCTTCCATTCTCCAGAGTTCTGGGGTGTTTCAGTGTGGTACGGCTCATTTAAATAGTGTCTTAATGCAGCTCTGTTTGGGGATGGTGGGGTAGTTGCTATTGAAGTTAAAGATTTGGTCCGTGTGTGTGGCCTTCCTGCGCACTCAGGTCTGGAATTCGCCATTAGTCAGTATCCCTAGCATTACATCTAAGAACAGGAGCTGGTTGTTGTTTTCTTCCTCTCTAGTGAATTTTACGCTTGCAAAGATGCTGTTAATAAGTTGGTGCGTTTCTTCTACTTTTGTGCGTTTGATTATTACGAATGTGTCATCCACATATCTTATCCACAGTCTTGGTTCGGTTATAGGAAGGGCTGTGTATTCCAGTCTCTGTATCATTGCTTCCACGATGAGACCTGAGATGGGTGATCCCATCGGCGTGCCGTTGATCTGTTTGTATATCTGGCCATTGAACGTGAAGTGCATATACAGAATGCTGCCAATAAACAGAACCAGAAGTGACAAGACCCGCCACACCAGAGGATCATATAAATTCGGAATGGAGCAGACACCAACACATCGATTAGAGGTTGCACTGGAGATGTTGCCTTGAATGGTAACAAAATGTCTGCATACCACAGAACAACCGGCTTGGTGAGCAAACGAACAACCCTTTTAAATCTTTCCCCTCTCACCTTAATCCTATGCCTTCTCGTTAAGTCATGGTAAACTCACTTGATAAATCCGCCATCTGCAATCCGACCCCACCACCAAAGACATCTTTCCCTCCCCACCCTTATCTGCTTTCCGGAGGGACCACTCTCTCCGTGACTCCCTTGTCCGCTCCACACTCCCCTCCAGCTCCACCACACCCGGCACTTTTCCCTGCAACCGCAGGAAGTGCTACACCTGCCCCCATACCTCCTCCCTCACCCCCATCCCAGGCCCCAAGAAGACTTTCCACATCAAGCAGATGTTCACCTGCACATCTGCCAATGTGGTATACTGCATCCGCTGTACCCGGTGTGGCTTCCTCTACATCGGGGAAACCAAGCGGAGACTCGGGGACCGCTTTGCAGAACACCTACGCTCGGTTCGCAACAAACAACTGCACCTCCCAGTCGCGAACCATTTCAACTCCCCCTCCCATTCCTCAGACGACATGTCCATCCTGGGCCTCCTGCAGTGCCACAACGATGCCACCCGAAGGTTGCAGGAACAGCAACTCATATTCCGCTTGGGAACCCTGCAGCCCAATGGTATCAATGTGGATTTCACAAGTTTCAAAATCTCCCCTCCCCCTACTGCATCCCAAAACCAGCCCAGCTCGTCCCTGCCTCCCTAACCTGTTCTTCCTCCCACCTATCCCCTCCTCCCACCTCAAGCCGCACCTCCATCTCCTACCGACCAACCTCATCCCACCCCCTTGACCT